ACACAGTAACTGCTATACACTGACTTACAGACCCCAGCTGCTAATGACTCAGATGGGGGAGGCTGCAAGTCTTGCTTTGGAGTGGGTGCCATACAAAATCGGGTGGTCCCACTTCCCTTTCTCTGTACATGTCTCCTAATGTCATAATCAGACTCAGGGACAGGAAGGGATTATGGGAATGATGCATCTAAAGAGCTCCTTTAAGATATTTCAGTGCCCTTAACTTTGCTTTGATGCTTTGAAAGGGCAGAGCTTTCACTTGGATGAGGACTGTTTGTTATCTTAGGCCCAAATCAGAATGAATGAGAATGTGCCTAATGGTTTCTAAAAGTTCTCTGAATGTGGACGGGAGAATACGATAGGCTGTCTGAAGACAGATGTCCCATCCACAAATGGAAATAGATATGTTCCATACGTATGCAGCAGTAAACCTACTTCTACTATTTCTCAGTAGGTAACATCCTGTGAAAGCACCAGTTAAAAAATAAAATTGATTTTTAAATTTTGGAATTCAGCCATATTTAGAGAATACCATAAGAAGCAGCAGCAAAGGTATAACTGACAATACCTACAAATGATTATGACAATAATAATAATAATAATAATAATAGCAGCAGTAATTGATGTTTACTGAGCACTTACTTTGTGTTAAACCCTTGGTAGATATTACATTTGATCCACACAGTAATTCTATGAAATAGATAGGATTAACAACTTCATCTAACAGAAGAGGAAATTCAGACACTGGGTGTTAACCCAAGATCATACCAGCTAGGAGAGGGTGGAGCCACAATTTGAACCCAGGCAGCCTGATTCTGCAGTTTACCCTCCGAACCACTAGGCTGTAGGCTTAACCCAGCTTGGGGGCTCACCAAGAGTAGTGAATACCTATGTTTCTAGATAACAAGTATGACAAATTCAGTTCAGTTTATGTCAGAAAAAAAAAAAAGGTCCTGAAATACATTTATTTGAAATATAGAAGACTACCTCCTTACCATAAATTAATTTAATTTGATTTTATCCTTATGTTACTATTTAAAATTAAATAATACATTTTTCTACATTGCTAAATTTGGGACAAACGTAAGCTATAATAGACAATACTCTGAGAATGAGAAAAGTTTATTTCATGGGGTCACTTTCATAGTCACTAAACAGAGAACAACTTGCACATTTCATTTTCTCCTGACAGCTCAGATATTACACTGACTCTAATATCAGTTTTCGTATATCATTTCTATAGTGGTATAAGACATCTGCTCGTCTGATTTATCTGCAGCTTAGCACAATCAACTACTTACCTTTTTAGTTCAGAAGGATTAAAAAAAAACTCATTACACCTAAAGACAGCTGAGAAGTTAATGAATCTGTAGATCAGAACAAATTAAGACCTATTAACTATAAAGAGCCTGAAATGCCAATATATTATATATTGGATACACAGCAGCCAGCAATCATGTAAAACGCTGATATGCTGATGAGCAAAGAAACAAAACAGATCTGCGACACTCGGGAACTTGTCCTTTTGGTGGCGCTGTTGCCATGCACTAGTGCTGGGAAAAGCCCACTCACATAAAATTAATTACCATTGAGCACAAAAGAAGCTTTGCTTTTCTATGATCAAGCCGCTAGAAATTTGGAGGTGAGAAGGAGAGAAGTAAAGGCTAAATAAAAGAACAGGAGGTAAGATAATCTTGCCATGTTAAAAGGTAGACAATATTTTCATGTTGTTATGTAAAACCTTCGAAAACGGCAATAATGTTGCAAGGTTAATCAAGACCATAAATAACTTGACTGAGAATCTCACCATATGCTTGTAATTTTATTGAGTGCATTTTGCCTCTTTTTTCTCTAAATATTATGCTCTGCAACGTGCCATTGATGGATGCATGTGATGTGCATTTTTTTAAAAACAAGCTGAGGAGACTAATGTGCTTGAGATTAGGGTATGGGAAATCTTAACTTGAAGGAATGATGGCTTTGGGGCATTTGCTTAGAGGGTAGCATTTATGTGAGGCATGCTTTCCTTGAGTCTGGGTTAGAGGTGGGACAGAGAAATAATGAGATTTGTTTATAAAGCTATGAGAGGGTCAGTCTGGATTCTAATGGTTAAGTTCACTCAAAACAAGAACAACAGAGCTTCTGCCCATCCTTATCGCCTCAGTGGTCATAAAAAAGGGAGATGTCCTAGGAATCTTTTCTGATCACTCGAGTG